AATATAATTGAGAGCTACCACTTTTCGATCTCAGTATCTCGTGAAATTTCTCCCCACCATCATAGGAAACAAACAGGATGCAGTCACCAGTTTTTGGTTGAGTTTACTCTCTGTTTAGCTAATGAAGTTCTGTCAGCTTTTACTAGATAAGTTAGCCCATACTTTTTGCCTATACATTTTGGTGAAAGAAATGTGTGTTCCAAATAAAGTTGTTGCCTTGGTCACTGCAGCTGTTTGGTGAATGCAGATATCCATATATGTCATAAAAGATTTATGTCCAAACTCTGCGTGTGATTTATATCCCTTGATGTTCATGAAGAAAATGGTGGGAACATGAATGTGAGAAAATGACTGGCACATAAATGACATTACTTTTCAGAAGATCACAAAAGCAAAAGTTTCGTTTGAGAAGATAATCTTTGTGCCCTACCATCTTTACACCGTATTCTTTTTTGGGCTAAGAAACTTCTTATTATACACTAATCAATTCATTGTGTCCACACCTTTCTATAAAGCAGGGTCTCCCACTTTGAGCCTTTAACTTTTAACTGACCTAATTATGACGAAGAACATTATTGAGAAAATTGGCTAGTTATGGCCAAATAAGGCTTACCCACATCAATGGAACAACTCAATCCGTCACACAGCCATGCAATTGTTGGCTTGAGCTGTAATACCGTCAGTCATGCGTGGGCGTATGGCGATATTTCAATGCGACCCTTACATCAAAAGCTAATATTGTGGGACTCGGACATATCAAAGGCTGAGATACTGTGATGCACCCATGCGCGGCTTACAGTAGCATTTTTCTTGTCGGACCAAATATACATAATCTGGCCACATTCATTGAGAAAACCCAGGTTGACAAGATAGGCAGAGAAAATAAGAACACAACACAACAAAGGAGGATGAGAAAAAAAAGCATGATGAAAGGGTGGAGGAAGCATCACCATCCAAGAAAAACAGTACGAAATTAGAAAACCTCATGAATTTGTGCAATATTTCTTAATCATAGAAATGGAATAGAGCAATGCCTTTTTATGAGCTATGATTGGACAATTATAAGAAGAAAACGTTGGTTATTATTATTGTGTGTTTTGTGGACCACACTGCTTTTGGCTACTTGAAATGCGTAGTTGCCTGGTGAAAAGAACCTTACATGAGACTAGTCGGGCAATTTGGAACTGTACCCATTTGATGTTCATCAATAATAAAGAAGAGGACCAAAAATTCTCAAATTTGTATAGGCAAAAGAAAAAGAAAAAACAAAAAAACCAAGAGGGGAACAAGAAAAGCACTCCCCCAACTTCAGCATTAGAACTTTTGGCTTCTTATATCTACTTTTCCATTTTTTTTCTTATTTAATTCTTTGTTTTTTTAATGGCATTTAATTCTTTGTTTAATTGATAAATTGCTTCACCACTAGAGCTAAGCAAAGAGAGATTTTTCAAACACCTTTAAGTATTTTTTATTTTTTATTTACATTAAAGATATAAAAAGATTACCCATCAATCAACAAGACAAAATAAGTATAATACTCAGATACTGAATTTAATTATAATTAAATCTGCATGGAGACGTGCATTGCAATAACGGCCACCATATCACATTTTCTTCTTCTTCTTCTTCTTCCAGATCTGACCAATCTTCTTTGCTATGAGATTTGACTATAATTGTTTGACTGTGAATCCAAAAGTTAAAGGCATCATCATATATATAAGGCTGGAAGGAAACTGAATCAAAAGGCAGCAATTTAGCTAGCTAGCCACTCAGCACAGAAAAATACAAAGTAAACAATCAGCCAGTGCCACACATAATCTATTACTTTTTTTAACTAAAGTTATATATAGAAAAGGGGTAGCCCCATGCCTAGAATTGTCAAATATTGCATCTATTAATTCTACACTTGGGAACTGTTTGGGAAGCAGAAAGTGTTATTTAATAGCTTCTGCCCTCAAAGTTGAATTGACCAAACACTGTTTGTTTAACTGATGACCAAACTTCTTTTGTTTCCATTGGGAGGAAAGAAAACTCTAGTGGGTTTCGATTCTGGGTGCTAAGCGGGGGGAAGGGAGAGGGCCATAACCATTGTCGTAACCTTATTCGACCTGATGACCAAACTTTAAAAATACTTGAAAATGCACCAAAAAACCACACCAGCAATTATATATATTTTTGTTTCAGCCAAGCTTCTCAAATGTAAGCTCCAAAATGCAGACTAGGGTTCGCAAAAAATTATAACAAAAGTTCACTTGCCTTGATTTCCATGTAGATAAGTTTGGTGATTGACTTGAAATTGGAGAAGACAAATCGGGGTCAATTATTTCATCTTGGTTTTCATTGCATAATTATTTTATTATATTAAACAATCAAACTTCGATACAACCAGTCAAGTGGCCCAAAACTGAGCAGACAAAAGAAGTGATGAAAAGCTCGAGAGACATGGTGGGGGTAGGGTTCTGTTTTCTGACATTAGACGCAACCCTTTGCTAATCTGACTAAATAGATGACCTTACAATGGGTTTTATATAGTGGAATACAGCTCATTAAATAAGTAACAAGCTAAGACAAATGTGACTTAATAATATCCTGAGTAAATTCATATATTCCACACAGAATTAATGTTCATAATGTAAGTGGGAAAAGAATAAAAAGAAATTAATATATGCTCTTTAAAGTGTGATGCTTTACACCAAAGAGTGGTTATCTTGGACATTCCCTTCCCACCAGTAGAAAATGGGAATTTATTTGACTGTTTTTAATTAGCGGAGGAAATTAAATAAGTATCAGATACACAAAGGCTGTGGAAAGTATTCAAATCGTGCAGACTATAAACACATATTCTAACATTGCTTTAGCATGTGATTTCTTTGGTCACATCCATAAAATACATCAGTCATTCACACACACGCACGATTATAGATATATAAATATTTGTAAGTTATATGTAGAGCTTAATACAAAACTCTTTTCTCGACAATAGGTATGACTTTGCTACTATAAAGGAAGAACAAATTGTGATTAAGCATATCCATAATTCCTGGGATTGGTCGGTTTATTTTTTAGAACATGACTTGGCTCCTCAAAATTGAGGAAGAGCGCATGCTCACAACAAATGAGATTTTCACACATGTATTTTACCTTTGACAAAAACCTATGATAAAGATAAAGACAACCCACAAAAGGATATTAGATTAGGGTTGAGAGCTTACCTAAATTTGTTGACATTTCGAGCAACAATAGTGTGAGTGTTGGATTTGTGCTATATACCCTTACAGTGAAACGACCTAACCTAAAGAAAAGATACACTATATTATTATATATAGATTATAGAGAGGCTGTCTTGTCTTTGTCTCTGTCCGTTTGAGAGATATTGAAAATCAATTTTATATTTTTTTCGCAGATTTATTGTTGTTAACTTACATCACCTGAACACTAAAATAATAAAATTTTTAAGGTCCACCCTATTGACTTCTGGGTTTTGGTCCCCGATGTCATGGAACCATTCACATCAAATGGGCTGTTGATGTTTGTTTTGAACGTAGACTTTGCCCCAAATGAAATTAGAAGTGCTTTTTCTCGGAGAATTTAATGTGTTATATATATCTTATTGTTCTTCTTGCCAAACAAGGAAAAGGGTTATATTCTTTCTCTAAATTATGAAGCAATTATATGTGCTGGTTTTGTTTAAGAAATATATAGGAACCAGCGGTGATGAAACTTGACCTTTGAATTGATAAAGGTGGGTGGGTGGAAGGTTTTTATCGACAGGGTTCAATCAACCCTTTGTTGGTGCCACATTATGATTTTTTTGAAAAGTCGCTTTTGTCATTTCTGTTAGATGGGCTGGCTAAGCTTCTTTACCCTCCTTGATTTCCGTTAACATGCATACATACATGGTTACTTGAAAAGAAAGAAGAAGAAAAAAAAAGAAAATACAAAAATCTACATGCACAGGAGAAGAGAAGAAGAAGAAGATCTTCCCATTCATCATTGTGTCTTACTGGATCACAACAAAAAGAAAAACCCTAATCAAATTTAAAAGTAACTACTCCACCATAGTTGGAAACAAAATAGCTAGCTAAATTAGTCAAACGAATCAACCCATCTCACGAATTACTCAATCAAATCCCTCAAATCTCTCTTCAACACCAAGAAAGTTTCAAGAAATAAGTTTTTTTTTTTCTGTGGCTAAAATCTGGTTGCTTCTAATTTCATGGAGCAGTACGGCCATGGAAGCAATATTCAAAAGCCAGATATATGTACATGATATGTATTATGTACATACATATATTATACACATGGTTATATGTATGTAGAGAAATAGTATATTACCAACATAACCTTAACGTACCATCCCTCTCTTGACCATGTAACCGAGGTAGTGGGGACCCATGCATCACCCATCATGGGAGACATACATGCCCCTTTGGCCTCTCTCTCTCTCTCTCTCTCTCTCTCTCTCTCTCTATGATGATATAATAATAATAATATATAATACATATAATATACATATGTATATGTGTATATATGACTCATGAAAGAAGCAGTACCAGTATATGATAGAGAATACGATGCTTTGCTTTTTTTCCTAATCTGTTTCCACACCATAATTTTGCTTCATATACGGTGATCGTGTGCAAAGAAATATTCGAGTGTGCAAGTCACGCAAGAAAGGAAAGGAGTGAATGAATTCTTCCTGTGAAAAGAAAAAAATTATGCAAAGAACAAAATCCGTATATTTTTCCTTTCTTAGGGTTCACCAAGTCAAAGAAAGATTTCTTGAGGAACCGGCCAAAGAAGAAAAAGACACCACCTCCCCCTCCTCTCTCTCCTCTCTCTTCTCTTTCTCTGTGGTGCATTGCCTTTTTCCTTTCGATATTTGACTAAACTGTCCTTGGTTCATCAAATTGAAGAAGGGTGTTTTGGTAAATTCACTAACCCAATTCCAAGACGTGCCTCAGTCCCCCTTTCACTTTGGTTACTCTCTCATATATACAAATGTATATGTGGGATTTCAAAACCTACTTTACATTATTCCCTTTTGCTGAAGCTTCTCTTCCTCTTTCTCTCCTTGTCCCTCTCTCTCTCTCTTTGATAATCATAACTTTCTCTGTCTCTGTCTCTGTCTCTCTCTCTCACTATCTCTCCTCCCTTCTTAGCTATAGCCTTGGTGCTGGTTCATGGATATTGAACCCTTGTGGGCTCTTGGGGGGTGGTTTCTTCTTCCAAATTGCATGGCAGCTGCACCTAAAACATCACCATCATCTTCATCACCATCCGTCTCTGAATTCCACACCAAATTAAACCCTAGCTTGCTTCTCTTTCTTTCCCTTGTATTTTTCATCTTTCTTCTTCTTGTTAGTCCCATATCAAACCCCACAACCACAAGCCCTTCATCAATGGCCTCCTCCTCCTCCTCCAAAAGGCTTCTCTTGGAGCCCTCAAAACCTGCCATGTCCACCACAAATTTACACCCAAAGAACACCCAAAACTCACGCACTTCTGCTACTTCTTCGACTTCTTCGACTGCGAGGGCTAGAAGAGAGTTCGGAGCTGAAGCTCATGAAGTTCCTAGCGGACCAAACCCCATATCAAACTAGCAAGCTAGCAGAGATGGAGAGAGGCAGAGATGATATGGGTCGTAACGGCAATAGTTATTATGGTTTGTCATCTTTGTGGTTATTGTTTGAGTTCTCCTTAAAACTGCTTTGTCCTCAGTGATAAGAGGTTTGTTGTCTTTAATTGTTGTTATCGTCATCCTATTAATTAGCATTTACCTTCTTCTTTTTTCTTTTTCTTTTTTCATTTTTTGTTTTTGGGGCTAGAAATGTATAGCAAGAGACACTTTAAAATTATTAATATTTCATATATGTTTATGTAATATAGATGATGATGGAGCATGGTATGGTTTTGGGTTGGTATAGAGATCTCATGGATTATAAATGGGATTATTGTTAATTTGTTTCTTCTAATTATATAATTATATATTTTTAATAAAAATGCTCTGTGTGTGTTTGTGATTGGTTTTTGTTCATGTAGTATAATAATGGTCCACAACAACTCTGTGAACTTTCTGATGAACTTACATATTACAAGTTCAATTTCAAGAAAGAAATGCATATATTTACATAATTAATCAGAAAATAGAAAAGTAGTATATGTGGGTTGAATGTTGCATGGGATGGTGCTTCTTTAAATTGTACTGGCTTAGGCAGCTGGGGTTTCAAAATCAAAGCTGAGAAAGATAAAAAGAAAAGAAAAGTGGGCAGATAATAACAAGGGAAATCTAAGGCCGGCAGAAAAATTTGGTTGCAAAGCAATACTGAAATGGGTGTCAGATCTGAAACACAGTGGCGGAAGCAAGGGAGAGGCAGGACCTTTTGTTTTGGCTGAAAAATGAAATTATTTGATCAAATAGCTTTTTGGTCTTTGGCTTTTGTCTTCTCAAACACAAAATCCGAGAAAGCTGATTGATTCCAACCAAGCAAACAACAAATTAAAGTCATAAATGATTTTGATGATGATAACAGTATCATTGCCTATTACTGCTGGATAAGCTACTGCTCCCAATCATGGGCTTTATCATGGTGCTTTTTGAAAATCTATATACAAAATTATTTCCCAATATATATATAATGTATTTTTGTTAAGCAAAATCTCAAATGCAATCTATACAGTTTTGTGGACTGAAAGTGAGAGGTCATAACACCTGTTTTATTCATAGTAATATTGCACTGAGGCTACAACTTTATAATTTCTATTTCTTTATTATTTTTTTCAAAATCACTTTTTGCAGCATCTAGTTCTGCATTGTCATTTCATTTTCACATCTGTGTGGAGGCAAATTACAACTCTTGCAGCATTCACACAAAAAAAATATGGCAACCCAAAATGCATTACATCACCACAAACAAAACCCAAAAGGTAAATTTCTGTGATGAACTTCATTATCATCATAAAATTCTATCTTCCCAGATCAAAATGACCTAAACGCATGCATGCTTGGCCAATTGACTCATGAAAATAAAAGCCTAAGGCAAGCCAGATGAGAAAAGGCAGATTTGAATTTATGCTTTCTCAAAATTACACACCTGAGACTCTATACGCATTTGCTGACATAGATTTCCAATCAATAAAGAAAAGGCCAATTCTAAATTGAAAATAAAAAATAAAACCAATAAAGCAGCTGCAGTTCTAAGCTAAAAACTGACACAAAAATCATTTAAGAATGATTGGCCATTGTTTTCATGGAAGATACAGAGCTTAGAAAATGCATGACAAGGATGTTTCAAATTTCCAGCATACATCAAGTTTATGCAAGCCGTTTGAACTTTAAAATAAATTTTTCTTCACCCAGTTTCTTTCTTGAAAAAGGTAAATAAATAGTAACTTTCGCTTTAATCTCAGTCAAAGACAGAAAAAAGTGACCTGTCACATAGTTAAATAATTGCATGCTTAACCGTTTCACGATAAAAAGGTGGGAATTGGGAACACTTTTAATTTATTTATTTTAAATATAATTTATCGTGACTTATTATTATTATTTTTTACAAAGGCGATATTCTAAACTATTCTAATATACAGAAAGAAGGTTTAAATTCAAGTGCAATGGAGCAGGTGGGCACATTGCCTTTACCAACTGGCTTAACCTACATTTACTATCCAAACTTCTTCATTATCTTGCAAAAGAAGAATACCTTTTTTTTTTGGGTGATAAAAGGGAAGATTTCATAATAATCTTTGGGCCTGGCCCAATAAGGAAACTTAAATAAATCTCTAGGCCCAAGATGAAAAAGGCACAAGCGGCCCAATCCAATGCCTAAAACCATTCCTTCCAACGCTAAACCCTAAGCCCAAAATGAAGGGTGCCCTAGCAATATTGAAATTTGTGGCCTACTTCCATTAGTTTATACTTTATAGTCAACATATCCAAAGCATATATTAAAAAGATAGAAATTTCACAGTAAATCAATTTGAGAGTTCAATTTTTTTCTTATTCTTTTTTCGTGAGAATATTTGCCTTTGATCAACCTCATTCTCTCAAGTGCTACTAAATTATGTTACTGCACACATTATTTGTCGTAGAGAATTGCATGCTGAGTTGGAGTGGTCTTGGTAATTGCTTCACTTTTCAAACAGCACTTTACATGAAGAATACTATCACATCTCTTACTACTATACTCATAAAACTTTGTTTGAAATTGTTGTTCTCGTATGACATGACTGTTCTGAACGAACGCGTTCAACAAAGTTGTCACGAATTTCCATGACAACTGTCACCCATAATTTCTGAGATATTACCGGATTTGCGAGGATTTGTCTCCATCATTATCTTGGAGCTGTCACTTAAGATTTGTGAGGGCCGCGTGGAGTTTGTGCGAGTATTAATAAAAAAATTATTATTAAAAAAAATCATACTTTAAAAATTCTACTTCTTTAAAAAACAGCTTGTAGAAACATTATAAATATCAAATGGTGTAGTATATAATCACAAAGTTGTTTGTAGCATGGTGGATAAGGTGTTAGAAGGGAATGAAAGTGGCAGTGGTTTGACACCCCTTGTGTTTGTGTTGAAGACTCCATTTCCTTTAATTTTTTACATGGTTGACAGGTATTACACAGCTTGACATGACCCGTTTAATAAGAAGGTTTAACATGTATTTTAGCGGGTTGGCGTGTTGACCCGAAACCCATCCATTTAATAAACGGATCATAACGGGTTGACTAGAAAATTACTCAATTATTAATCGTGCGGGTTTGGGTTGTGTTTTTTCCTTGCGGGTTTTGAGTGGTGTAACGAGTCGTATCAAAAATTGCCACCCCTAGCCCGGATATTACGTGCGGGTTTCTCTTTTTTCCTCAAGCCTGGAGCAGAAATTACAGAGACATGTCTCGCACAAACCCCAAGAGGCACCCGCAAATTAGGTAGAAATTATGGAGACTCGTCTCATTCAGAAAGCGAGAAATTACGGGTGTAGAGCTCGAGGAACGCGGGAAAACATCATAAACGAGTGTCATTAATGGACGTCTATAAAAGAAAACAAGGGGAGAAAAAAATCACAACTCAGAAAACAAAAACCTAACCCTGCCAATTTTTTGTCCTTCCCATTTCTCTCGATCTAAGGTTATACTATTTCTTTTAAAAAATTAGGGAAGAAAGAGTATAAACGCCTGGCTATACTATTTCCTTTTAAAAAATTAGGAAAAAAATCCGCGTATGGCCGCATGGCTACATTATTTACTTTTTAAAAAAATTAAGAAAAAAGACCCTTCTAGTTGCATTAGTTTATACTTTATAGATACTAGCCCCTCTGCACGTGCATTAGTTTTAAATTTATTTTAGAATTAAAAAAGATAATGGGTAGTTGTGTTCCATAAAAATAGGATTCATTATCTGATTTTTCATTTAATTTAATTTAATTTTAACATGAAAAGTGTGAATTTACCATATTAACCTCATTTAATTAATAATTTCGATTCTTAATGTTTACATTAACTAAGGGCATTTTCTAGTATTTTGGATGTTTTACCATTCTCTGCCTTTTGCTTCATATATATATATATTAGTTTGATATACGTGTTTTATTCGGCAAAATTTTGGCCAAATACAACTTAAAAGTTCGGCCACTATATAATATTTCAATTAAATAATTTATTTAAAGTTTTTAATATATTTTATTTGTATTCAATAATATGTGAGAATTATGTGTATAATATGTGAATTTTGTGTGTATTATCGAAAAGTTCGTAAGAAATAAGTGCTATACTATTTATGTTCAAAAAATTAGGAAAAACCGAATCTAGCCGAGCGGCTATACTATTTCTTTTAAAAAAATTAGGAAAAACCTAGTATAGCCAGACGGCGATACTACTTCTTTTCAAAAAGCGTTATTCGCAGCAATGGTCCCTCAACTATACCCGTAGTTACACTTTGGTCCACCAATTCAATTATTAGTTGCAGGGGTCACTCAACTAGGTGCTACGTTGCACCAGTAGTCCCTCCGTCAAACTCTGTTAAATTTTCTGTCAAAAATGAGGGTAAATTCGGAACAGCTTTTCTTTTTAGCATATCACCTGCATATCACCTTTTCTTTTTAGCACAGAAACTAAAGAACTCTGCAAGAACAGCTTTTTCATCAAAAACCCACTCGATTGTGAGTCCATTCCCATCCCCCAACTCCATCAATTGTTGGGTTGCAACTTCAGCCAACGTATCCAAGGAAGAAGAAGAAGAAGATTATGATGATGAAAAAACCCTTTTGTTTTGCTTGACCATGGCCTTCTAAGGAATCAAACACCCATCAAATCCATATCCACGAAGTGGGTTGCAGCAACAATTTCTCAGAGCCATGGCCATGGCCTTCTTAACATCATCTTTCTTCCAATTTTTGACGATAACAAAAACCTCAGAGAGAAGATTCAACGAATTTGAATCATGCCCAAATTGAAAATCACCCTTCATTCCCATAACCAAAATGCAAAAACAGAACTTTCACCTAAAAGATTAAGAACACAGAAATAAACCCAACTCGATCTGTGCAGTAAAAGCCTTCGGCACTTCCAGACCCAATTCTCACTCTCTCGACGACTCTCGCTTCGCACCAAAACAAACGCTCGCAAGCCAAGGTAGCGTTTCACCACTTCTCGTCCGTTTGGTTAGAGAGAAAAGAAGAGAAAATCAAAGCTGCGAAAGTTCGATCCATGGCCCATCTTCTTCAAGCGTGAGTGGAGGAGGAAGGTGTGGGTTTAGCCAATTCGGCCTTGCCCCATGCCGCGACGATCATCTCGTCCTCGATCCATGTACATAGGCCGGTTATAATCTTTTGGTGGTGAAGAATCCAACCGATCGAACTTGGTTCTTCCTCTATGGTTGTCTGAGTAATCCAATCGATCTCTTCGCATTTGATGGTCAGGAAACCTGCCTTCATGCCTTGGAGGTGGCATCCCAGCGCCAAAATCTCTAGGGCCATCT